TCAATAGCAGTTGATGGTAAATACAGTATAGTCGATTCAATGTGCTAATGAGTTTGTTTTTAGTAGCACGGGAGGATACCATCTCAATCAAAGGGAGATATTTGGACATGCATATGGATCCGCTAGTGGACTCTACTTGCCTGCAAGAGTCATCAGAGCTGGTGGAGGCTACTATCCATATCAACGCCAAGCAAGCTGACCACGCTCCACTTGATGCTGCCCATACCACTGAGTCAATCTTGTCCACGTATCCAACTGACGGTGACCAGGCGCCATTGGACCCGCATGAGGCCGCCCCAGCCGCCGAGCCGGTCGTATCCTCATTTCCAACGGACTCAACGTGTGCCCAATCGTCTGACTACGCGCCGTTGGAACCTCCCTACACCACCCCTGCTGCCTGTTCGGTCATGTCCACTTTGCCAACGGAGGCACCAGTTGAAATGGCGTGTGATCACATGCCATCGGAACCACCCCATGCCACTGTTGAGCCAGTTGTACCAGAGTCTACAGCTGAAATGGCATGTGCCCACACGCCATCGGATGCGATTGACCCCACATTGCAGAGGAGAGTATTTCCGCCCTTCACGTTTCCTCGACCAAAACCCTCTCAACGACCATCGGGAGCACCATTCGCTAATATTGTAGATGGTAAAATTGACTTGTACCATTTTTTATGCTGACGCATTTCATTTCAGAGTCACGGCGAAAGTACTGTATCGTTTTTGATCTGAACGGTGTCCTTTTCTCCCATGAGCGTGGCTCGTCCTCGAATGTCACTCCACCCTCCAAAGCCTGCGGTCGCAAGTTGGTCAAAAGAGACAGATTCACATTAATCACACGGGAGAAACTGCGGGATCTAATAATGACCATGCGACACTTAAAACAGAGGGCCGGGTTCAAATTGCAATTGGGAGTTTGGACATCCATGATGCGCCACAATGCATTAACGTTGCTACAGATGATGCACGATCAGACGCGAGTAATATTACCATTTGACTTTCTCCTAACGCAGGAGGATTGCTTGACTATGGTCCATGTGAGGGGTAGCAAGCCCATCTTCGTCAAGGCAGAGGCTGTAGTGATGAACCGGACTGCTAGGTCAAGTGAAATCCTCATCATCGATGACTCGCCGATTAAAACTGCAGCGAACACGCACACATATGCAGTGCACCCCATCTCTTGCAGTATGGAAACTAGGGAGAAGAAACCGTATGTTCTGGGGGACCTTGCAAAACGGCTTGAAGCGATGGTGATAGAGAACCGGCCAGTCCAGGAGGTGGCTGCAGAAATCAACCAAATGGCAGATGGAACGGTATATCAGAAGCCATTTGATCGGACAGACACCAGTCATCATTTATGGCATGTATATTGTCTAGCCAAGCACTATCCACATCTCCATAATCTGCTCAACCGGATGGGTTCTTCGACCACTGAACATGAGCGTGGACGTATTAGAGAAGAGATGGCATTACTATTGGGCTTAATTCCTGATAGTGTGGAGAGTGATGAAATTCCAAGGTTATTGTATAGGCGTTGGAGGCAAAAAATAACAGTCTGAGATGGCATGTATTTATTTAAAAATGTAACTTATTATGGCATGGGGTTCCATGCCATTGTATTAATATTAAAAGACAATTCTTTGAGAGGATTTGCATTTACAGCATGTTATTGGAAGTCTACGAAGTTGTTTTATTAATAAGGGGAAAGTAAAGATTGAATGGGGACTTGGGCTCCACCTAGACTCGGAGCAACTGAGCCAATATTAAAAGGATGGAAAGAAATTGGACGACGATGACAAGGAGAAGAGAGAGGTGAAGCAGTGGCAGGGGGAGGAGAAGTGATTAAGTAGACATTTCCTTGTTTAAAATAAAATGGCATGTGCCTCAATGCAGTTGAATTTTGTTATATTTATATACTATATAAAGGTTTGGAAACCTTATTTTACAAGTGGGATAATGACAATTCCCACTTTAACGAAATAGAGCTTGCTAGGGACTGGATCACATACCTCAATTTGGACTTCACCCGACTTAATGGCCATATTGGCTCTGGCCTTCTTTGGGTAGGGACATTCCCTCGAAAAGTGTCCCGCTTCACCGCAGTTGTAGCATATGTTGTTTCCCATGCTGCTAAACGACTTCACCTTCTTATCCATGGGTTTGTTTCTTTTCGCTTGACTCCCCCACGTACTTGCTCGCTGGTCTCGGACTCGATCTCGGACTCGATCTCAGACCCGATCTCGGACCCGACTTCGGACTCGACCTCGGACTTGGTCTCGGACCCGATTTCGGATCTCGGACTCCGTCTCAAACTCGGTCTCGAACTCGGACTCGAACTCGGTCCCCGAGTCGGTCTCGGACTCGATTTCGGACTCTATCTCGAACTCGGTCCTAGAGTCGGTCTTGGACTCGATCTTTGACTTGGTCCCATCCGATGAACTCTTTGTCATTTTGGTCATGTTTTCGGGGTTCCTTTAGCCTACGACACCTCGGCGAGTTGGTTCCTTACAACTCCACCACCCATAGAAGAAGTTTGATGCCCACATCGAACGTCTCTTTTTTATCCTACGACTTGTTGACCATGTCTTCGGGGGCATCCCCCCACTTAGCGATGTGCCTAAGTTAGCCTCCCCGGCCAAGAGCTCATGACAACGGAATATAGGTGTCCCTATACTCCTCACCTCACCACGCCCTAGAATGGGGTCAGGACTTGAACCCAGCCTTGCTTTACTAGGGGGTTGGGACTTGAACCCAACCTCCGTAGAATACGTCTACGGATTCGACATCCCCGCAGGGAGTCGGGCGTAGCTCC